CCGTACCGTACCCTGCAGGTCCGCTGTACCGTACCTGTCTCTTATACACATCTAGATGTGTATAAGAGACAGACACTGTACTGGTAACTGATACAGGTTGTGCGACACCTGATACAGACTGACAGTCTGTACGGTTTCTCCTGTGTGACACCTGATACAGACTGATCAGATTGATTAGGGCGTAGAGGTTTTCGCACAGGAGAAAGCGTACAGACTGTCTGCAGGCAGCAGACCCAAGATGTGGGGACAGACATACAGTTGGGCAGGGTATAGCAGGTATGTACGACAGTTGGGTGCGCACCCGGCAACTGCATGAGGTCCTTGCATCGAGGGTAGCTGTGATGGAATCGAAGAAAAAAGATTTATCACCCAATGAAAAGAGACCAGGTGGAAGAATGGACAGAGACTGTAGGTTCAAACCTTTTTTTTTATTTTTTTATTTTTATGGGAACAAGGCTCCAATCTATTTGTGGGGTTCAAACTTCAAACCCCATGAAAAGGAAAGTGAAGCCCCCATGAAACAGTAAAAAAAAGGCAAAATCGAGAGTCGGCAAACGTACTCCACGCAGACACTGCTGGAAGTGCCTACAGGCTTGTCTTCCCCCCCGAATAGAACGTACGGTCATTATAGCTGAAAATTTGGTCTATCTTGCAGTCTAAATTCAGCTAAAATCACCGTACGTTGTATTCGGGGAGGAAGACAAGACTGTAGTGCCCAGCCCAACCACTGCCTCTCAAAACCGGCCCGGTGAACCACCTCAGGGAGCTACGTAGTGAAGCCGTGTAAAACGCATACTTCACAGAGAACTAACCGGTGAAGGCGCAAAAAGTTAGGAAAAAAAAACTTAAAAAAAGTAAATTTCTGAATTTCATATTAATTGATCACATAGAAAAGTCAAAAACTTACTTTATTTTATTCTTCATTGTTGCTGGGAAGAAGGGAGAGAAGAAGAAGAAACGGGGGTCTCTGAGAGACTGTCTAGCGAACTCGTGTGTATATATATATATTGTCACACTGTATATATTGTTTCGTGGATGTTTTGCTGGCTTGTGATGGGGTGTGAACCGACAGTCTGTAGAGTTTTCCATCTGGTGTGGGTGAGTGAT